CTCTCTCTCTCTCTCTCTCTCTCTCTCTCTCTCTCTCTCTCTCTCTCACACACACACACACACACACACACACACACACACACACACGAGAAACAGTCTGGCACAGTCATGCTTTTTTTGAGTGTATAGTGAATATGACAACACACATACACACACACACACACACACACACACACACACACACACACACACACCTCGCACACACGGAGGACGTCCCGACATTTAGAGACCGCCCTCTCGCTCACGCAGAAACAAGTAGCAGGCGTTTGCTAGGGTAGGAGCTTGCCGTCGCACTCGATCCTCACAATGGCTGTTCCCTCATGCGTCGGCGAGGTTGGGAGGGAAGAAGCACGAGCACGCGCGGGCGGATACGTTCATGGACGTTTCGAGATGAGCCCGGGGAAGGACGGTTCCGCGAGAAACGGAAATTGGGAGGGATCAGGGCTGAGAAGGGAGAGCAAAGGGTAAGAAAGGAAGAGCGACTACGTAAAGTAGCGCGGTACTGGACAATAGGAGAAAATACTAATCGCGTACTATTTCCGACTCTCTGATCAGGTGCGGAGGCCAAGCAGAAAAACAAAAACGAGAGCGGAACGAGAGGGAGGGAGAGGAAGCCCAATGAGAGGCAAGAGAGAGCAAAGAGAGTAGGCACCAACGGAGGAGAATAAACAGGAGAAAGGACAAGATCGTCCGCTGCGTCGATTAGAATTGTCAGAGCATCGCTGCTGTGAATTGGATGTGCGTGTTTGTGAGAAAGAGAGAGAAACAAGCAAAAAAGAGAGACAGAGAAAGAGATTAGAACGAGTAGGAGAACCGAATCCGGAGAAGAAGGGGAGAAAATACCATTCATCCCTTTGTTGATGACTGCGGACCGTAGATAAGAAACGGACGAGGGGGGGAAGAGAAGGGGGGAGGGGGGAGGGGGGAGGGGGGAGAGAGAGAGATGGGAGAGAGACACGCACAAACAGACACAAACAGAGAAACGGACAGACAAGACAGACAGAGGGCAGAGGCAGAAAGAGAAGGAGAGGGGGAAGGAAGAGAGAGAGAGAGAGGAGGGGGAGGGAGGGGAGAGATAGAGGGGAGAGAGATAGAGGGGAGAGATAGAGGGGAGAGAGAGACACACACAAACAGGGAAACGGACAGACAGACAGAAAGACAGAGGGCAGACCCAGCGATACAAGGAGAGAGGGTAGGAAGAGAGAGAGAGGGGGGGAGGGAGAGAGAGAGAGAGAGAGGGAGAGACGGACACAACCAGAGAAACGGACAGACAGAGACAGAGGGCAGAGGCAGAGAGAGAAGGTGCGAGGGGGAGGAAGAAAGAGGGAGAGAGAGAGAGAGAGAGAGAGAGAGAGAGAGAGAGAGAGAGTTGATTACTCACCTCTCTGACTTTGACGGGATGCCTTCCCTCACCATTGAACCCAACGAGTTTGATCTCGACGTGGAAGTTCACTGGAAGTTGATCTAGTCCCATCTGCTTGTCATCCACGGTGGCCATTGATTTCCTCGCCCATCTTTGCTTCTCTTTCTCCGGTAGGGATTCGAAGCTGTCCGTCTCACCGAAAGGATCCGTATCTGCCTGGAATAATGACGATTCGAGCCCGTACTGCGCGCCAAACCCCTCAACCCCCTTCAATTCCCCACCGATCAATCCCACAATGCCGACCAAAGAGAGGAGGAAGAAGAAGCACCCCCCGTAGGTCCCCCCCCCTTGCACCCTCCCGGTCCCACTCTCACCCCTCCGTCGACTACCCATCCCTTCCCGCCTTTTTTTTTCTCTCTTCCTTTTTCCAATCCTTCTTCCTCCGATTGATTCACTCTTGTGACACCGTTCGGTATGCGCAACAAGCCGATGGGATGACTTTCCTGCCTTTCGAAAAATGAGTTCCGTGATTTAACTTGTGCTACACATATTCCGTCCGTACTACTGTAATATTGTCGGCTTCCCCTTGGGACTTAGTCGACGACGGCTTTGCTGCGTACCAGCTTTCATGACGCCTACCAGTCGACGTGGACCGACGGCCGCAGTACGAGAAGACACGCAGTGCAGCAGGGTACGCAGATTTCCCCGGTCTCTGAGTGTAGATAAGGGGGGGATCTGATTGATATACAAAACGACAAAGAGCAGGCAATCAGATCGACGACTCCGCTGACGAATGATTGGCATCCACGTGTCAACGCCCCCCCTCCCCCCCCCCGACTGACATGACCTGCACTCAGCGTCTGTCCGCAGGTCAGTGTCAGTCGGTCAGCGGCCTGATCAGACGCTGTTGTCTGAGTCCATCGGACGCTCCACGTCGAACGGCAACAACTCAAGCTTTATCATTCACGCCAATTTTCAATCAACGGACACCAGTTCCCTCACATCTTCCTGCTCCTTCCCCCTGCGGCCGCCGCGCATTCCGCCGGTAATTACCCTAATCCAATCAACCGGCAGGCTCTTCGGTTTTTCACCCGCCGCGTCTCGTTCCGGTCTCTTTGGTCTCTCCCTTGCTGCCACGTGGCGATTGAACTCAATGCTCTTTCTGCTCTTCTCCCCGCCGCCGCTCGTTCCGCCGGTAATTATCCTAATCAAATCAGCCGGCACGTTACTGCCACGTGGCGATACAATTAATTAATTGGTCGTACCGCTTTTTCCCACGCCGCTCATTCCGCCGGCAATTGCCGTTATTATCAAATTAACCGGCAGACTGCCTCAGGCAGCGATTGAAGTGATTGCTCTTCCCGCTCTTTCCCCCGCCGCCGCTAATTACCCTAATTAGCCGGCAGGCTACCCCCACCTGGCGATTGATGAATTGATTGGCCACACAGCTCGATTGTGTTAAACAGTCAGGGGGAGTCCTAGGGGAGGAAACAGGGCACGGGCAAGGGAAGGGGGAGGGGGAAGGCGAGCGGGGGAAAAGAGGCTGAGGGAGCAGAATCTGACGTGGACACTCCCGATGGGCCCAATAGTCGATCCGGATTGGGTCATCGTTGGAGACCCGACTTCGTTGGAGACCCGACTATCAACTCTCTAGCCTCGGAGAATAAACTGTGGGCCTCGCTCCACTACTCACCAAATGTGCAAAATGAGAATGAATCTTCAGCCAGAACATGGAAAGATAAATAGCCATAATTTTTTCTTTTGTGAGTGTGGAGAATGGAGTGAGGCCCTATGGGTCTCGGTCCACTACTCTAGACTCTAGAAATTCTAGAGTGCAGCATCTCTCCATTTACTCTAGAAATCAACTGTGGAAAATTTTCTTCTAGAGCTGTCAGAAGTTACTCAAGAACTACTCTCCAGTAAAAGGTGGCTCCGATATGGGACTGGCTCCACTACTCTTAGACTCTCGAAAATTCGACAGCCATGCCTCGCTCCACTTACTCTAGACTTGTACTCACGCATAAACACCCTTTGTCAGAGCCTTGCTCCACGACTCTAGACTTTTGAAAGTTTGACTGCCATGCCTCCCTCCACTTACTCTAGACTACCTTCTTACCCGAAAAATACAATATATGGAAATTCAACAGTCATGCCTCGCTCCACTTACTGTAGACTTTTACTCATGGATAAACACCCTTTGAGAGTTGTCAGAGCCTTGCTTCACGACTCTAGACTCTTCACAATTCAACAGTCATGCCTCACTCCACTTACTCTAGACTACCTTCTTACGCCCAAAAAAATGGACATACGTTGTATATGAACACAATGTACGGGGTACGTTGTATTTGAATACAATGTACGCGCTTTGTGCAACGAATTTGAGGTACTACTTTTCCAGGGCAGCCCTTTGCGGGGTACGTTGTATTCGAATACAATGCGCGTATTTTGGGTTATGAGAGGGCAGCCTTGGAATGTATGAGAGGAACCCGGCCTCATCTCTTTGAGTGGAAATATATTGGAAGGGGGG